ATTCGTTGATCCAAGTCTCCACATGCCCCACGGTGTTGTCTTTGTCACGCAGTTCTTCAAATAGTTTGCCTTATCTTCCTTCCAGATCACCAACAAAAGCAACCCGGATAAGAGCTACATCGGCAGAGACAGGACATAGCCAACAACCCTCCTCTTCTTCTGAGAAAAAGAATCCACTTGCAGTTGTTTTGGATGTCCCTCGGACTATTTGGAGGCAAACATTACGACCGTTGAGTGACTTTGGGTTTGGTCGTAAAAGTATATGGGAAGGTGGGGTAGGATTGTTTCTAGTTTCAGGTGCAGTTCTCGTTGCACTCAGTTTGGCTTGGTTACGGGGGTATCAATTGAGGTCTAAATTCAGGAAGTACTTTGCTGTGTTTGAGTTCACCGAAGCTTGCGGAATATCCACTGGAACGCCAGTGAGGATTAGAGGGGTCACTGTAGGCAATGTTATCCGTGTTAACTCTTCCTTGGAAAGTATTGAAGCTGTTGTTGAGGTATGCTTCAGTGTCATAATAATCCAATGCTGAATGAAAATACAGTATTAGTTTTTTGACCTTAATGAGATTACTGTTTTTTTAGGTTGAAGATGATAAAACTGTCATACCTCGAAATGCACTGATTGAGGTAAACCAGTCGGGTCTTCTCATGGAAACTAGAATTGACATTACACCTAGAGACCCACTTCCAAATATTTCAGTTGGGCCTCTTCATCCTGAATGTGGCAAAGAAGGTCTGATTGTATGCGATAGGCAAAAGATGAGAGGACATCAAGGTGTGAGTTTAGATGCATTGGTAGGTATATTTACTCGTCTTGGACGTGAAGTGGAGGAGATTGGTATAGCTAACACTTATTCGCTTGCTGAACGAGTTGCTTCCATGATAGAAGAGGCAAAGCCACTGCTTATAAAGGTGTGATGTGCCCCTTTATGTTTTCTTTATGTTTTCTTCTTTAGTTGAGAATTATCTATGCTGATTAGGATAATTAGGGCCATTCATTTACATATTTTTATCAATCTTGGACGAGGACCTATTTGTTCCAGAATCTATTTGCTTCAAAATTGGAAGGGCAAAAAGTGTAGGGACTTCCATCAGCCGTTTGGCACAAGACAATGATTAGGTTTTCCTCTGGCACAACTGTGCATTTGTGGAAGGTCCTGGAAGACATCATTTATATATAACAATGGCAACTGCAATAGGGTTTACATATCCTGAGGCTGCATATCTATTAAATAAAGTTTCTTTTTTTTCTTTTGGTCTGATCTGTTGAATAAAAGTTGAAGTTACCTGTAAAATTACTGCACAGATACCAAAGTTTGTTTGCAACGGGTGGTTCACAGATAGGAAGATACATGCAAATATATATGTTTGAATTGGTTACCTTTGTGGCGTGTATTCATGCTGTTTTTGCCTTTAAGATTAAAAAAATCGAATTTTTTGTAATTTGTCATCTCATTTCATTTATCTAACACTTTATACTAATTTTCAAACGATTTCAAATCAGGATTCTGAGTCATTTGTGAAACTATGAGGGTTTTTGGAAGAATTGTTTGGAGTTATAGATTCTCATTGATTAATTGAATTTAAGTTTTCAAGGCATGAATTTGTTTTTTACACAGGTAGACTTCTGTTGGCATTAAAAGTAAACATAATTTGCCCCTTTTAGGTTACTAGAATATCTCTTCTCATAAGAAACATAATTTGATTAAAAAAAAAGAGAACAATACAGATACAGGGAACAATATGAAAACCATCTATTGGCATACAACAATCCTTTATGTGTGTTATGTAGAAAAGTATTCGTACATAGCTTCAAATTTTAGATTGTAGAACACTTTAACTTGTTTTGTGTTCCAGTTCGAGCCAATTTGGAACTCCTATATGGATCTTCTTATATATTCTCTTGTTGCTGGTGCCCATTTGTCTAGACACGATTGGTTACATCATGGCAGTATTTTCTGATTTTATGCGCTGGAATTGGTGTCAATTTGGTAAACACAACAATGGTTAGAACAGCCATTCTGCAGAAGCTATAAATCACCTATGTTGCATTTGTATATCAATCAGTATGCGTGCCTGTCTGTCCACCCATATGCATTGGTGTACACTGGATGTTCACTTGCTTCTTACAATTTCAAGTTAATTCATATTTTTACTATACATTCAATATGTTCTCATGCACAAGTATTTGGCTTTGATGTAGTGATCTCTCAGATCCAAGCCATGGCTGAAGATGTTCAACCTTTGCTGGCTGAGTTTCGTGATAGTGGGTTGCTGAAGGAGGTTGATAGTTTGACCAGAAGCGTTACGCAAGCCTCGGAAGATTTGAGGTGAATTTTAATCTGTATTGATAAGAAACTCATTAATCTTCATCATCTATCTTTTATAGTCTCCTACATGTTAGAATGTGAGATCCAACGCAAAACCTATTGGAACTTGGTGGAGAGGTTCAAGATGGTTTAAACTATTAGGAATAGTTCCCCGATTTGTGGGATTCACAATCTCAACAATATGGACAACCTCTGTTTGAGGGCTTTTCATATAGATAGTTTAGAACATTCTTTGGTGTCTGTTGCAGGAGTTGAAATACATGCCATTAAGACGTGACTGGGTTCTTATTTTTCATATTTATTTCCATGGTAGTTAGCTCACTATATATATTTAGTAATTATGTGTGTTCATCTTTGTGGTGATGTTTGTTTGGGTGTTCTAGGATAATTGGTTCTGGACAACGCTGGGTAATTCTCTAATTTCGTACACTCTCATCATGTTTACGGATACTAGAACATGAACAGTATATTATCAGTGTCATGGTACACAGTAAGAAGTTAAAGAGGCTGCCCTGACAGTTTTTCTAATAGTGTTCTGCTGCATTGTGATTTCTCTGTACCCAATAGACATGCATTCTTTTGAAGGAAAACTAATGAAAAGGGCTTGAAAACTTTGAGTTTTAACGATAAGGATGAAATAAAGGGTAAAGTGAATAGTACCATGATTGATTTTTTAGTGTAAAAATGTGGCTTTTTGTTAAAGTGAACAGTATTGAGAGCTTTTCATTAAAGTTTCCTTCTTTTAATTTATACCACTATGTTGTAGAGTCTTCATTCACTTTCAATCTTGTCCACCATCACCACTTGCCTACTTGCCTGCCACAGCTGATTTCATTATCCCTTCACACACTGCATTATTCAGTCTTTGTTACCATCATTGAGCAATGACATCTACTCATAACACTCACAGTGCTTCCCTACAAGTTCATTATCATCAACACTCTCCCTGTAATCTGGAGTTTGGAATCCAAGATGAAAGTGTATTATCGAGCTATTAGTAGAAATAATTAAAATTGTTTTTGGGAAGTACAAGTGCATTCATAGGAAGCTATTATACATTTGTAATAATAATTTATGTGTTTCGGAAAAAAGCACTTCTTGTAAAAGCACCTCCGCTAGAAATTAGAATCATTCCCAGCAGCCTTAGATGCTGACTGTGGTTGTTTGGGCTGTTCTTTGAAAATTTTAGATTTTAGTGTTCAGACTGCAGAGATTCTGGTCATATGGTTTATTGAGTTAGTTTTATGATGACCTTTTAAAATATCCCAAATCGTTTGATTTTCCAATATCATTTTCTGCAGAAGGGTGCATTCAGCTGTTATGACTCCTGAGAATACAGAACTGATTCAGAAATCCGTATACAGTTTGATTTTCACCTTGAAGAATATTGAGGTGATCCTAGTTGCCAAGCACCTACATATTTTTCTTTCTTTTTTCTCCATATTCTGTGGCTTGTTTTTCTTCTTATCTTTAGAGTTAAATGTATTTATCACACGTATCTGTTTTCTTGTTTAATTTTTCTACAACTCATCCACCTTTGCAGAATATAAGCTCTGATATTCTGGGATTCACGGGTGACGAGGCTACAAGAAAAAATTTGAAGTTACTGATCAAGTCCCTCAGCAGGCTACTGTGATGAGTGATGGCTGAAGGTGGACTTAGGATTGTCGCGTGTTGTGGTTCAGCAGATGCCCACACTTGGTTTTTAGCATTCGTTATAGTTTGGACAGGAGCAAACTGCGTGTGCCTCCTCGTGACCGTTTCTTTTCTTTGTTTCATTTTTTGAATGCGCATAAAGGTTTCAACTCAGTTCAGGTGTGTTTATTGTTTTCTCATAACGTAGTTAAATATAAAGTCGCGTATGCGTTTGTGCTGACGACCTGGTGATATCAGAAACCTTCTGTTCCAAGTTGAGAACGTTCGTTCCAACCTTCTGTTCTAAGTTGAGAACGTTTGTTCCAAGTATTTATTTTGGAGGCTCATTGTTTCGATTTGATAATGACGCGTTTTACAGCTAATTGTGCTTAATTAAGTCGTGCATTTTGCAAAGTATATTTAGTGGTAATATGTTTGTGTGACCCCAAACCAAAGGGTAATCGCAACCATCTCCGCTATGTTTTTGGTGATCTGTCGATCTTACTCTCTTCTTTGAACTTTGTCAATTTAACAATTAATGCTAGAGTGAGCGCATGTCCAGATTATTGAGGAAAATTGCTGTTTTTGTTTCCGATTTCACTTCATTTCCTTTCAAAACTGTAAAGCTCAAACCCGAAATGCAAACAGTAACACAAATCAGATGGAATCGATCCATAAGCATAGCATCCAAACAAATCAATTCAAGAAAAATATTGGGGCAGCCGCATTTCGGTCTACTGATATTTTTTTTCACTGGTAAGTCAAAAATCTTAAGTTCAAAAAAAACCAATATCCAGACATTTTTACAGCTATCACCAGCAACGACAATAACATCTTTCACTAGTATTCGGCTCAAATGTTGTCCAGATTACAAACACTTTTCGGCCCGTTTTAATTATTTATTTTCGGAACAATATAACATTAAAAAAATTCTCATATTAAGAAAAGAAATAAAAAGTCGATTGAATAAAAAAAAAGGAAATATAAAAAAAAAGTCTTGAAACCGATGCCTGCATTCCTACAAAGAAACAGGTCTAAATCGACATAATTTTAGAATTTAAACATTATCACCATACTAGTGCAGAATGGAAGCAAAAATTCCACGCAATGTACTTCGATTACGGTAAAAAAAACAACAAAAGATAAGTTTCCAACTCTCAAGTCCTGGTAACCATCTCACAGCCTCAGCTGATTCTAATTCAAGGGTCTTGCACATTCAAACCTGCACGTAAAAAAATAAAACATCATTGAATCTGCAAGAAAATAAACTTCATAGCTTCAGGAAGTGCATCCTAGAGATAATATAGTAAGAAGATGCAATTACGAGACAGAGGCTCAGGGCAAAAAGGGCAAAACAAGACCTTAGAAACTTGGAATGAGTCTTTAAGAAAAGACATGGAGTACTTAGAGCCAACAGAAGACTTCGCGTACAAGTGAGCGCAGTGTGTACAACTTATTTATCTATTGTCTATGACTAATATGAGAGAGCATTCTATGATTCATACACCCAACCCTACTTAGTGGGATAAGGCATTGTTGTTGTTGTAAGAGCCAGGGGAACATAACTGGCATCCGCTAAAATGTGTAGCCTCTTCATGCTTATCTGATACAAGTGTTACTCTAGCTTCATAGTATGTTGTTAAATAACAGTTTTTTGTTTTGTACGCGTTACAGAAACAGATGATAGTGTTTTGACAACATATTACCTGGAGGGAGAGACTGCTTAAGCTTGTCAGCCTTCTCTGTGTCAAAAACACAAAGTGTGTAAAGGTACTTGGAGCATCGAACCTTAAACTTCACCGCATCTTTGGTCTTCTTGATTTTCACAGAGCGTGCGTCTTTCCTTCTTGCAGTGAGAAGGAAATCCTTAATTTCATGGATTTGCTTAGGCTGTCAAAGAAACAGCAAACAAAAACTCTAAGCACCAACTTCAACATATATATGTGATAGAAAACACTAACTCTAAACACTAGACCCAGACCAGAATACGAATAAACTAAAACAGATGTATTATCGTCGATACAGTTTCTTCAAGATGTGATCGAAAACAAAACGAAAACTTTATATTAAATTGTTTTGGGGCTTCAAAACATTCTTGACACGGGCGAAGATCGGCAGTTGCTTATTAAAAGACTGTTGTAACTAGTCATCTACAATGCAAAGAATTATGTCAAACAGTAAGACGCAGTTACATTGACACCACAAAAACAGCACCGGAATCTAAGATCAGAAAACCAAACAACTCCGAAACGCTATGCAACATTATTTCAAACCAGTTCAGCTACCTAAATATAAATACAACATTATTTCGAGGAAATTCCTCCCTCTTAACCTCTTCCACCATTTTCTGTATAATTTCTACATTTTCTCTACATAATCCCTGAATTTTTCACTATATGCCAATTAACTCATAACTAAAACGCACCTCATCAGCCTTCAGCCTTCCAAAAATCCGTGTATCTATATTCTCAAACCTCAACTATGCACTCACTTAATATTTTCAGAATTTTCAAATAACCCACAATATTTTCAGAACCTGAACAAAATACAACTCAAAAGTTCAAAAACAGCCAAAAGAGAAAAATTGAAGAGAACCCATTTGACTACATGATCCGTTCATATATAAATTTACATGTATTACATATATATATATATAATATGTATACGCGTTGATACGCCTATATATACATAAACATGTCGAACAAAAGCGAAAGAGGGAGAAGGAGAAATTGAAGATACCATTTTGATGGCGGAGAGCACGGCTTTGATTCCTTTCCTTCCTGGTAAAGTAGATGGACAAGCTCCCAGTCCCAGCCGCGAGCTCGGTGTTTTGAGCTTCTGTATATATATCTGACGGCGTAAGACGCTGCTTGAACCCTACAAAAAGAGAGTACGAGGCAATTTACCCGTTATAGCCCTGAATAACAGGTGTTATTACGATAAAGTTTTGTAATATTATAATGGGCTTTTAATGGGCATCTAGGCCCAACTTAAATTATTGATCACTGGACTGGAGTTATTTTGGGCCGCCGAAACACTTTTATTTCGACACCCAATAATCTATGAATTACACCCTTTAAAAATTAAAGAAAAACGTACAGTACTACGCGGCCATTACCCTTCCCCGATTCCCCTTCCAGTTGCCGAATAGCCTACTGCGCAATTCTCATCCCTTGTCTACCCGCATGATAATTGTTTGTCTCCATCTCTCTTCTCTATCTAATCTTCATCTGCCAAATTCTTCTAGAGGTCACAACTCTGATTAATCCTTGAGTTTGAAAATTAAAAAAAGGGCCTAAACGCCTAGGCATTATGTCCTGCCCGTCGCTCGACTAGCGCGTAGCGTCTTTTGGAACCTTGAGTTACAAGTACAACAACCATTTAATCTTTCATATTTTTTTTTCTTGGGTTTTCTGTTTTTTTTTAATATAAAAAAATCAGCAGGTTTTAATTTTTTAACGTTAATTGTTGTTTTTTTTTCAATTGGGTTCTAATGTCATTCTCAATGGAATACAATTGTCATCAAAATAATTTAGAAATAATGGGTGTTCAAAGATCAAATTTGGGTGTAAACAGAATTTTTCTTTGGAAATTGATTTTAGTAGCCCATTTACAAAACCACCGAAATAAAATATCGATGATACCAAATTAAAAGCTCTACGAGTCCTCTTTGATAAAAGTACCCTAAAGTTAAAAGCCCTCTTACTAAAGCATATGGAGGAGGTCCATATCATAATTTCATATGTGTCGACCATTTCTCTCTCACCCTCTTTGTTGACTGTTTTTATTCCAAATTACGTCTTTGTAGACTGTTCTAGCTAAAATGACAAATCAAAATAGAGAAAATCAAGGTCGGACCTATTGATGGGCCGTGATGGTCTCGGGACCATCCAAAAGTTTGGAAAAGTACATCGGAGGACCTCTTAGTAGAGCCGTCTTTGACATTTTGGGAGTTCTGTGCAAACTTAATAAAGAGGCCCTCCTCATTTGAGAAAAAAAAAAAAAATTTGGACAATATATTCATGCAGAATTCAATAATAAATATTCACTTAATTGAAATTGACATCTCATTCTTACTAATTAAATGATTTCCAATTGCCATGAAATTATGATTTATGGTTCATTTATGAAAAAATGGAGCATGACTGAAACAAAAATATGGAAATACGCTTATATTTGTGGAAGAAAGTAATGCACAAGTTTGTTTTTTATTGCTAAAGAAAGTGAAAGAAAGTAATACACAAGTTTTTTTTATTGCTAGAAATATTTAAGAAGAAGTTCCACTTAATCAATTGTAATATAAATATTGATGACGATGGTTTTGATTTTTAATCAAAAATTTTTTATTATAAAATTTATACATATGTGACATATAGGAGGATCAAAATTTTGGGGCCTCTAAGAAATTCGGGGTCCTGTGCCACTGCACCTTTTGCACACCCCAACGTTCCCTCTGTCTCTAAGGACCAACCAACGGTTTGAGTAGGTGGTGGAGGAGAGGAAACCTCCATGGCTATTCAGTGGATTAGAGGTTTTAGCGAAGAAGAAATGTTTTAATTTTTTTTTCTAGATGTGGCCAAAACAACGTGGTTTTGAAATTTTTTTTTTACGGAGTTTTAAGAAAAAAGTTGAATGGAGATTCAGTGTGGAATGAGAGAGATAATTTATTATTATATTGGATTTTGTATTATTACAATTACTTTTTACGGACTAGGATTCTTTCTCCTTCGCTTTCCATCCCCTTTTCTCACATTCTCTATTTTGTCTTTCTCTATAAAAAATTAATATAAGATGTTGATGTGGCTTAACTGTGAGTTTGTGACCGTTCAAATAGGAGGGGAATGAATGGGAGGGGAAAAAAGAGAGAGAAAAGAATCATACTCCACCTTTTACGAGCTCAGAGCTTTCATATTAGTAGTTTGCTGATTGTTTGTTTCGTGATGAGGTTCTTTTTGTTGGGTTTGTTTCAAAGTAAAGAGTAATTTAATGTTTGATTTATTAAGAAATGATCGATATGAGTGATGAGAACCTTCGTTCGAAAGTTAAATATAACGGGATTTTGTAAGGATGTGGAATTTAAAGAATCTCATATCAATGTGAGGAGAAATCTCGCAAAAGTTTATAACTTAGGTTCTTTTTTATATTGCCAATTAATTTTATGAAGGAATCTCAAAATTTTTTTATGGTATTAAAGTAGGTTGCCTGCATGTGAAGCACAATGGTCTTTCGAGCTCTACGTCCATGTGTTTGACTTGAAAATTCATCACACATAAGGAATGTGTGAGGATGTGAAGTTTAAAGAGCCCCATATCGGTGAAATGAGAAACATTGCAAGGATTTATAAGTAAGTTGGACTATTTCTAGGGTCGTCTCTGAGATTTTGGAGGCCCTGTACAAAATTTATAAAAAAGCCCCTCTTTAAGATAGTTTTAAAAAAAGTAGAACAATGTATTGATGTTTGAAAACAATCACTTAAATCAAAACAAACTTTAGCACTCACTGATTGCAAGTTTACAAATGTCATTAATCATAAATAAAAAGCTGCAAACATAACATTCGCTAAATAATCAAAAGCAGTTCAATCTTAAACAACCAAACATGGATAAAAACTTCAAAACTCTAACTTTATAATTTCACTTGAATATATGACATTATTCCATAATAAAATTGAAAAACCATTGTTTTTTGGGATGTTATTATTGACAATTAGAATGTGACATCCCACATCGCTTAGGGGAGTGATCCTTAAATGTATATTTTCATCCCTACCTAGCATGAGGCCTTTTGGGAGCTCACTGGCTTCGGGTTCCGTAGGAACTTCGAAGTTAAGCGAGAAGGGGATAGAACAATCTCATGATGGGTGACCCACTAAGAAGTTGCTCATGAGTTCCCAAAAACAAAACCGTGAGGGAATGGTAATCCCAAAACGGACAATATCGTGCTACGGTGGTGGAGTGGGCCTGCGAAATGATTCGCCCCGGGCCGGGATGTAACATAGAATATCTCATTGTACTCCAAATTTTTATATTGAGTAATGCTAGAGAGACTAAATTTTGTAAATTAGACATATAAATTGATGATTGGATTATTATTTAAGTGTTGATATACGTGCTCATTTTTTGTTGGTAAAACATCATTTAGTTTAGTCTTCATAGCATTACCCTTTTATATTTAAAAAAGAAAAAAAAATTACTCTTATAAGGAATGCAATGAGATTTTAAAATGCTAACAAGATCCATTTTCTAAATATAGAACATTATTACATAATATTAGATGGCAAAATTTTGGGGGCCTCTTCAAATTTAGGACCCTATGCGACTACACATTCCGCTCCCTCCCCCTCCCTAACGCCCTCTCTGACTATTTCCCATATTGCCAATTAACTTTATGATAAAATCTCAAGTTTGTTCAAAATTATCCCTAACCCCAACGCACCCACCACTTTGATCAAAAATAAAAAAACGCACGCACCACCACTTTGTCCACCTCTCCCCACAAGGGCCACAACCACCTGATCTCAATTTCCAATAATCCTAGTTCCAAATTACCAATTGATATTATATGATGTTGGATAAATAGATTGATGTGTATTAGATGAAAATTTTGAAACGTTTTTAGAGTATGTAACTTCGTTGTGGAGAAATTTAGTCTTTGTAACTTGTAATGTTGTTCAAACTATAATTATGAAAAAACATATTTATCGTTTTAATTTTCAATTTACTTTTGTCAAAAAAAACATTTTGAAGTTTATATTGAAGCCACTGAGGACTAGTTTGGTATTACTGTGCTTTTAAAAAAATTGATTCTGATATGATTTAAGAATAATCAACTTTAAAATAAAGTAATTGATTGTTTGATAAACTTAGTTTTCAAAGTGATGTGATTATAAAAAAATATAAAAACGCTTGGTAAATTTTAATGTAAAAGTGATATTACCTTTTACGTAATGACAAAAATGGACATGACAGTGAGGTGGTGGCAATAACACGAGTAGCAAGGTCATCAGTGGCAATGGTGGTGGTGGTGGTGTTCGTGATGGTGGTAGCAGTGGCGATGGTAGCGACAAACGTGGGCGTGGGGTGTGGTGGTTGGTGTACAAATAACAATTTTGGTAGGAGAGATGGTAGTGGCGGTTGTGGAGGTAGTGGTGGCGAGTGGTTATGGTGGTGATGGCGGCAACGATGGCGGCAATGGTGGTTGTGATGGTGGTGGTGGCGGTTATTGTGGTGGTGATGGTAGCAATAATGGTGGTGATAATAGCAGTGGTGGTGTAGGGTCAGTCTTCATAATGGTAAGTAGTGGCATTCACTTTGTTCTCCAAAGGATAAAGTTGAGTGTAAAAGATTAAACAATGTCAGTCTTTAAAAACTAATGAGAGTATTATAAGAATTGAAAATATTTGGTAAAGACTAAACTCCGCTTTTTATTAAAGCAAATTTTAAATGCAACGTACATATAGCTTTTAAAAGCTGTTGTCGATAGGCTATTACTTTTAAAATAAGCAAGATATTTTATTTCTATCACACACTTTTTTATTGCTTAATTTTTAAAATGAAGAATTTTTTTACCAAAAATACGATACCAAATAAGACCTTAATGTTAAAACTCTGAATCCAGGACAAAATAAAAGTAGCGACATGGTCACCAGAAAAAAGTTACACATTTCATCAAAAGATATCCCACTAACTAGAAAAAGGTTGCACATTTTGACCAGCCCACGCATTTGGAAATAGTACTGTTTTAACCCTTCATAAACACTCCTTCATTTAGACACTCTTTTCCCTGGTTTCCGGTTGGTCGATCGATATCCATTCAGCGAAAGCATGCACGCACATGCATGCTGTGAGTTTGAGAGAGAGAGAGAGAGAGAGAGAGAGAGAGGGAATTAAAGCTCCA